TCATCGGCATTGAGGTCCGAGTCTGTATTTGCCGTAAATCAGTTTCCTAAAGGCTGTCCGAAAGCTGGGATTGAAAATCGTGTAAATGATAGGATTCAGAAGGCTATTAAGATAACCTAACCAAAGAAATACACTCATCATCACCTCCGGGAAGTAACAGTGTTCACCACAGAAAGGTCCGATTAAGGCCACGATAAAGAACGGAAGCCAACAAGCAATGAAGCCGCCCGTAATGATGGCGATCACTCGAGCGGCTTTTCGTTCCCGCTTCAGCTCGATTTTTTCCTTCTTAGCCCGCTCCCTTTCCCGGTGTCTGATACGTTTGATGTTCCCGTTGGCTGCCGGCCGAGACTGGCCTTTCGGTGTTAAAAGTGGCTTCCCGCCGCACCCACTGCTACCAGAGCCCCCTCCCCCATGAGTTGGGACTGACAATTGGTTTAATTGCGTTTCACATATTTTCACACGGTTTGATGTCGCTACAGCCGCCGCCGACATCGTTGTTTCTTTTGTCGTTGTTATTGTTATTGTCGCTGTCGTCTTGAAAGTCTCTGACGTTGACTTGGGCACGCAACAGCTGATATTTGTTATCCTACAGCTGCTGGGGTCGCCCGTGCCTCCTCCTTTGTCTTGAACTTCACCCCCGGCATCTACCCCTGTCGTAGTGTCAAGGGCGCTAACAGAGGCAGGTACCAATGTTGGATGTTCCTCGGTTAACTCACCTGCACTGTGAATTCGTGAGAGTTCGTTCATGTTCATACACGAGCCGTTGTAGGCACTGAATCGATCTTGGCTCACATCACTTCCCGATGAATTTGGAGATAAATTATGTCCTTCTGTAGCAGTTACTGTGATAGCTGAGACAGGCGCCGGACGCTGATAACCATAGAAACCTTTTTTCCGTATACGCGTCCGGGCCGCCACGTAGATTTTAATGTTTAACACTAGCATTAATATTAGTGGGAAGTAGAAGGCGCCCAGTGTGGAGAAAATAGTGTAGCCAAGATCCTGACTTATCATACAGCGTTTTGTTATATTTGGATCGTTGTCATCCTTCCAGCCAAAAAGGGGCGGAATAGAAATCGTCACCGCAACCACCCACACCGTAAGCACCATGATTCCTATCTGTCTGGCGCAACGGCGTCGAATGTAATCGATGTTCGAAACTGCCCAGTAACGGTCGAACGCTATGGCTACCAAATGAAGTATAGAGGCAGTGCAACAGAGTACATCAAAACTGATCCACATATCGCATATCACGCTGCCAAGGTTCCATTTGGCGCTCACCTCGTTCACGACACTAATCGGCATGACAAGAATGGCCACCATCAAGTCGGTGACGGCGAGCGACATAATCAAATAATTGGACACTCCGCGCAGGCTCTTCTCAAGCAAAATGGCGGCGATCACGAACACGTTGCCGGCTATAGTTGTTACGATCATCAGCGACAATAGGATGCAGATGACGATCTTTGCCGGCAGAGGGTAGGTCTTCGAACTCGTTTCGTCGATCGGGTCCTCGTTGATTGGAAGATAACCGGGCGAGATTCCTGTCACTGTAGTTTCATTGGCGAACACATCTAAAAAGTCAGTGGTATTTTCCATGTTGTCTCATGGCAATCAGCTGAAGTTCTTTTCTCAAGGTTGTTCTTCTGTGGGGCGAAAAACGCGTTCCGACACCTGAAACCTTGCCCGTCTTTACTGTCGGGCGAAAACCTTGTTTTCCTGTTCAGTGTCTTCTGAAGTTTTCTCCTCTTCTTCATAGTATGTCAAGTGGTCTATGTTAGTATCAATAAAGTTCTTATAGTGGCCGCTTTTTTTTTTGCTTTCTTTTTTTCTCGCTCGCTTGAAATTCTTTTAATAATGAATTGCTTCTACCGTTCGTCGCGATAACAACGCTTTAGAATGCAACACAACTTTACTTAGTTTGGCTCAAGGCCACAAGTATGAGGCACTTAGTGAGTATCACGCTCACTACTTGTAGCTATTTAACTACGTCTGGGATATTTATTGTCTAGTAAGCAATAACGGAATCTCTTTTTGGTATTATGTGACTAACGCTATCACTGGCGTTATATTTAGCGTTGTTGTTATAGTGTAATTAAAATTATACTGGCGTTATATTTAGCGTTGTTGTTCTAGTGTAATTAAAATTATACTGGCGTTATATTTAGCGTTGTTGTTCTAGTGTAATTAAAATTATACTGGTGTTATATTTAGCGTTGTTGTTATAGTGTAATTAAAATTATACTGGCGTTATATTTAGCGTTGTTGTTATAGTGTAATTAAAATTATACTGGCGTTATATTTAGCGTTGTTGTTATAGTGTAATTAAAATTATACTGGCGTTATATTTAGCGTTGTTGTTCTAGTGTAATTAAAATTATACTATTATTAAAATTATATTACTATATTAGTTATTATTGATTCTATATTTGTCTCTTTTCTTTTCGGTCGATTGTAATACTTTTAATAACGAATTGTTAATACCGTTCGTTGCGATTCCAACGCTTTAGGGGATAAAAAAGCTTTACTTAGATTAATTTCTTTAAGTGTGTTTATTATCGTTATTACTGTTTTTGTTTTTTACTTTCGGAATACTTCTATACACGCTGAGTTTTCACAGCAGATTTAGCTAATAAATTTCGCGAAGATCCAGGGATAATGCAATGCTCCCTGTTCTAATTTTAGCTAATTCTTTATTGATATATTGTAGTTTTCTTCTTGAAACCGATATTAAATTGAGGGCTTTCGATAAAGAACAAACGACAGCAGAGCTTATCAGCACTCCAGACCCGTTTCTAGTATTTTTACTACGATTTTACCAGTACCGTCTTTTTGGTTGTCTTAATACTTTATTAACATATTCTATTTTACAGATTATTAAGCAGAAGTAAGTGTCAATGTACTAGGTGAGTTTGTTATTATTATTATTATTATTATTATTATTATTATTTACACTTACCGAGTGTAAATAATTAAGAACAAGGAGTAAATTATAACTTTCAATGTAGATCAAGCAATTGCAAGTCTCTTTACTGATCAAAAGTTCGTGACAATTATTGTAGCGATTTTTAGCGATGTTAGGGTTGAGTATATTGCAATTTCCCCTTGGCTGCTTCTGTCATTTCACGCACTTTAAAAAGCCCCTTGTTCCAAAACGAAGGTTAATATTGGGAAATGAAAGCACGATTATTATTATTATTATTATTATTTCCACCCAGTGTTAAAGCACCAAAAGTACTTCGTAACTATTGATGCAGATCAAGCAACATTAAGTCTTCTTCTTGCTAACCGACTTTATTCTTCTTCTTCTTCTTCTTCTTCTTCTTATTCTTATTATTATTATTATTATTTATACTCACCGAGTTTAAGAACAAGGAGTAAATTATAACTTTCAATGTAGATCAAGCAATTGCAAGTCTCTTTACTGATCAAAAGTTCGTGACAATTATTGTAGCGATTTTTAGCGATGTTAGTGTTGAGTATATTACAATTTCTCATTGGCTGCTTCTGTCATTTCACGCACTTTAAAAAGCTTCTTGGTCCAAAACGTAGGTTAATATTGGGAAATAAAAACACGATTATTATTATTATTATTATTGCCGTTTTTCTTATCAGTTCTTTAAAAATTAACCTTTGTCATTCACATAACAACCTCAACAACTTTCCTATTAATTTTATTCGTTACCTAATTCTTACGAAATTTATTTTTAAGGCTGCCCCGTCTAAATAAATATACATATGTACCATGTGTTTCTTTTAATGAAAATGAATATTATTAAATTTTTTAAAAAATCCTAAAGATTTTACTCTTGTTCAAACTATCATTTGATGTAAGAATCTTCGTATTTTTAATTCTATCCGCGACGAAATAATTAATGGTAGCATTACACGTATTGGTGATTTTATAAGCGTACCTTAGACGTGGCACAAGGCCGAAAGTATGGGCCACCCAGTGAGGATTGAACTCACACCGCAGTCGTAATTGTTCTAGCAAGACAATTTTGATTAATCATTACGCCACGTCGAGGTGTCAAACATTACACGTATTGAATGTTGTAGTGCTGATATAAAAATTGTGTTATTACTAGTCCTTGACATATAGGTGTTCCATTTTTTATTTTAATTTTTTTTATAATTAATGTTTATTAGCTGTCTGATTATATTGTTGTTGGTGGTGTAAATCTCATCGGTTGTTTTCACAGTATTTATTTTATCGATAAAATTATATTTCAAAATTTAATTTGGGTTCATATTCCTTTTTAAAAATTCACACGCCATATTGAATTTTTTTTTTCATCGATATGTTTGCATTTGTTTTGTTTCCTTTTTTTCTTTTTACTTCTTTTTAAATATAAAGATATAGTCGTCTAGATGAATTTAGAAAAAAAAAGTTGATATATTTTCTTTCTCTGGTCTCTGGTCCAAATTTTTTTTTTTTCGTTAATATTTTTGCTGAAAAATTTCCTTCAAAGTGTCATTGGTGTAAATTTTATTTTTTGATACCAATCAGACAATTCCCTCGCGTCTCCAGGTTCCAGTTTGATGGGGTTCCAGTTCATACGGGATCTTGTGTCTTTTACCGTAAAAAAAAATCTGAAAAGATATTGGAAAAAACACAAATTAAACTACATAAAAACAAATTTGAAAAAAAAATAATAATGACATTAAACTTCATTATTATTAGAAGAATCCTTATTGCATTTTATTTAATTATTTTTTTTTAAATTTCTTAATTTTTATTTCTCGTAATTTTTATTAAACAATCGTTGAAAAGCGTGCGTCAAAAATAACTTCCACATACAGAACTCGTATACACAGACACAGACACACACACACACGCACGCACGCACACACACACACACATATATATATATATATATATATATATATATATATATATATATATATACGTAAGCAAATATATGGATATAGATCCGACAGTATGAAGAAAAATATACGGAAAAACAAACAAAAATCCTAATATTCAATTATGCTGTTTTAATGTAAATATAATGTCAACGTCGGACGTTTCGGTCTAGTAGACCATCTTCAGGACATATTCATAAAACCTTATCAATTCAACATGACAAAGATTTTTAATGAAAAATGAAAAGATTAATGCTCGACAAGCGTACATATAAATTTTAGATCAAAATAGAATTCTTTTCATTTTTCATTTTTCATTCAAAATACTCAAATTTTAGGAATACGTTTTCACAGCGTCGCCCACGTGACGACAACGTGACCATGTTTTAAACGGGGCGCTGATCTTATAAAACTTTCAGTTATTTGTTTGGATAAGTCTTGTTCTTATGTACGTCGTCTTTGTCGTTGTTGAATTGATAATGTTAATTATATTTTATGAATATGTCCTGAAGATGGTTTATTAGACAGAAACGTCCGACGTTGACATATTAATATTAAAACAGCATAATTGTATATAATGATTATTTTTTTTTTTTTCCATATATTTTTTTTCATACTGTCGGATCTATATCCATATATTTGCTTATATATATATATATATATATATATATATATATATATATATATATATATATATATGAAGAAATATAGTCTTAAGGTGCCCTACATTTACGGGATGAAGTGCTCAATATCGGTGAAAAAGCGTATATAAATATATATATAAAAGTGAACAGTGAAGTCAACGCTCAGAGGCTACAGGCTGTTTCATGCTAGTCGCAATCGTCAGGCAGCCTGCCGAATGCGTCTAGCATGAAACAGCCTGTTTCCTATGAGTGTTGACTTCCCTGTTTTATATATATATATATGTATATATATATATATAAGCAAATATTCTTTTCACTTTGATAGACGGTAAATTATATCACTTTTATATCAATTGTTCGTATTAATACCTATAATTAATTTCTTTATATATATATATATATATATATATATATATATATATATATATATATATATATATATGTATATATATATATATTTTCTTCATATATATGAAGGAATGAAAAGAGAAATGAAAAGACGTAGCTCTTAGGGGCCCAATTCGTTGGGTTTTGCATACTTGGATGAATACCAGGACGGAATTTGTGAGTAGGGGCGCTTTATCGAGTCTATTCAGTTTCTTCTTCGTCACTGAGGCCCGCTGTTACAGTTGGTATGAGACCCAAATAAGATGAAACGGCTGTCCAGTGCTTTCTGCATTTTATTGAGGATTCTTCTACACTGATGAATTACTATAATGCTATATATATATATATATATATATATATATATATATATATATATATATATATTCATACATGTTTCATTAAATAATACAGACAAGTGTTGTTTATTTATTTTATGTAAATTCTTTTCATAACGTCTGATAATCTTAATAACATTATCATTAAACGAAGAAAGAAAATCACAATATTGATACATATATTTTTTTAATCCAATCTAAGCTTTTGGCTTACATAAGCCATTGTCAAAGATGACAATTACTGTACAATATATTAAGCATTACATGGACAAGAATGTGATGATATTATTTAATGAAACATGTATGATGAAAAAATGCTGCCTAAATACACACAATATATATATATATATATATATATATATATATA